TGCTCATGATTTCAATCACTGGATTGCCTGGTTCCACTATCGTACAGTTGGAATACATCAAACAAATACAAATCATCCCTTAGTACCAGGTTTCAAGTCTCAGTACTTGCTATTGATGATGATAACGATGATGATTCTCATTGTGATAGAAAAGTCAAATATTCGTAAACAAAAAGGTTGTCGCGGAGTCTAGTTGTTGAAGCATGTTCCTGCATGCGGATGATCAGTGTTTAATTCTCACGTGATACTCGAAGCCAGTTCCTGGTGTCCTCCGCCGAGATACAGCCAAAGTATTGTTAAAGCGGCACCAAACCATATTCAGTCGCAAACAAAAGAAATATTTACGGTCGACACAAACTGTTGGGTCCTGTCATGGGTGGGTGAGTGTTATTGGGTTTAAATCACAACCCTAAACGATTAACACTTGCCTCACATCTAATTACATCCTTGATGTAACTCAAACGCTCTTCCAAGCCGCGTTAAACAAACCTCACTCATGCACGAGATCTAAAACACAAATCAGCTTTACTGCGAATATGGACTTCAGTTTCTATGTGTCTCAGTCCTCTATCACAACTGCTTCTTAAGAGGGTGCTCTATGAATCATGTTTATCATCCAAAACTGTGTTGCACAGGAGATATCGCTTGTGTGAGATCAAACGATATCTCCTAGGAGATATCGTTTTGACAGTAGATTTTGTACAATACCCTGACAATGCTATGACGTCATGAGCATGATGACGTCACAATGCTATGACATCGCTGCACTGCAAGTCTAATGGCAGAACGGTGGTCAGAGATGTACTTTTTGCAATGAAAACTAATGAAGAGTGATTTTTGATGATAAATAGAATCTCACCCTCGTGTCTTCTGATATCAAATATATCAACCCACTCGTTGATAAAAGTAAAAATATCCTCGGCAAGCCTCGAATATTTGTAACTTTATCAACTCGTGGTGATATATTTGATATCAAAAGACACTCGGGTGAGATTCTCTATTTGTTTCCTTGTTTAAAGCCATAGTATTAGACCTCTCTTTCTGATTAATAGAATTCCGATTGTGTTGTGGAAGCATTCTGTACGATTGACACGTTCGTACTTACGATAACTCTCAGTGAGTGCATATACGATATATAGCTATCTATACTTCCCATCAAAAGTTTAGACTCACTTAAAACACTCACTATATGTTATATACATATATATGGTTACATCGAAGATTGATTTGTCAACTAACTTTGAGGAACCAACTGCAAACCTTATGCAGATGAATTGCACGAGGATCATGCATCAAATTGCTGACAAGCATGTGCAAAAATCGTGCATGTAAACAGCTGCGTTTTTGTGTAAAGTTTTGTTAAGAATACGCCAGTTTTCACTGATTTATTTTAATTATTTATTGACAATAGCATGACATAATCTTTTCAACGTTACGAATTTGTTTTACAATACAACAGTTCATGTGTTAACAGTACCTTTAAACAGCATCTAATATTTTGCAAAATTTGTTTAGAACAGTTGCCTGAAGTTAGTGGTTATATTTACACTAGTGAGTCTAAACTTTTGATGAGAAGTATATTAGTAAGTTATTTAACCAGCACGCAGCAGTAATACAGTTATGTGACGGCGGGTCTGGACCAGACAATCCCGTGAGTAAAATTGCGAAGTTGGCAAAACACCGTCAGTGTACGATGTTATGCATTTAACTTAAGTCCCCGTTCCTCAAGGGCAGGGTGTGGGGGTTAGGGCTTGGGGCGGAGGTATCTCCCATAGGGTGCATGTACTAGATGACATGGCCTGTTTTCAACTCTGTGCAACTATCAGTTTAATGCGAAAGTTGTCAACACACACTGACGACAAAGCAGGCACGTTGTTTTAGCTTTATATGTCTTCCAATCATGTCGATACATACCCCTCTCCTCAATCTCTGTTTACTACACTGCATTCATACTCACACACTCGTGACATTGGGCGGGAATTGCCGTGACATCATTTCACTCTAGTTGAATCATTTGGAAATACCTGTTGATTATCTTACCTGTGACTCACGCTGTTTTTACCTGTACGGACCCGCGGTCGGAAGGGTCACCTGGTGTAGTGTTGCCTTGGGATTCCCGAGGGGGAGAGGGGTGGGGGAGGGGTGGTGTCGAGTGGACGTCCACTGACAACTGTGATCCTCTGTCCCAAGGAATAATTAGGTGTTAGTGAGAAGTCATATCTCACGTAAAGAGGTGTTGGCTTTTCGGGGTTAATAGGGGTCGTGGAGTTTGTATGAAAGGGACATTGCTTTGTTTATCAAACCAGAGAAGGACTCGGTGGTATTTCATGGATATAAGGTATTTTGCTACCCTTGTTGGGATGTTCTTCTCCGTATTTGATCTGTGTGTTAAAGAGATAAGCAGTATTGGTTACAATAGTTCTAACAAGGACATGGTAGAACTGACGTATATTTAATAGGCTTGCACTGGTTCTAGGAAAACATAAAATTAACGTACGTACATTAGGATATTGGTGTAACATTTTGGAACATGTGCACTTCATGAACTCGTCGTACCTTCTGGCACTAAAAAAGGAAAACTATAAGAGGAATATAATTTTCATTCTCTTTACCACAGTATTTCCACCGATAGTTGACCTATTTGTTAAATAAAGAAACTGACCTAAGCAAATATAAGGAGTGTTTATGTTTGTAGTTTTAATGCATTTCTAATGCTTCCTTTTTAAACGAGAAAAACTTTAATCACCCCGTGGGAAGTATGTAGCAAATTCTATTTCTGCAAGTTCTTAACGAAATGTTATCAAACTTTCAGCCTGTCTGTTACTCTCGTAATAAATACAATCTAAGAAATCAATTGTCAGGTGTAGCCCGTGGCCCGTGCTAGTTTCCAAGAGCTATTGGATGTCGAAGATCAATTTAATCAACTGGAAATTAATTGACATGCTGGAGAAACAATCATTTATGGGCTATTAACATCAGGCCATGTTTGATCCGGGTTCGATCCCCGACCGCGTCATACCAAAAGACGTAAAAATATGGTACTTGTTGGTCCCTGCCTGGCGCTCGGCATTAATGGGTACAACAAGGACTGGTCGGCTCGGAGTCAGTATAATGTGTCTGAGTGGGGTATTCATGCTTCACTGCGGCATGGTATCTCAGTGGGCTAGCACTATAAAACCAGCTTTAGTCTGGGCTAGTACAAGCAGCAACACATACACACCCACGCACGTCGTCATATGATCGAAATATTCTCAAGCACGACGTTAAACCCAATTTCACCTCACCTTCACCTTCTGCAAAAGAAACGATACGGTTAATCAATACCTTTATATGGATCAATCTTTAATTTGATTTTTTATTTCGAATTCCGAATAACCCAAACCTAACCTTGAATATCGTAAATGGAAGAGTGAATATGATTTTCCGCCGCTGTTAGCAATATCACGTAGGTTATGTATGTATGTACGGAATCGAGGCAGCCACCCCCTAGAGGCAGGGAGTATGTTTGTGTGGCTTACATAAGGAATTGCAAACTCCAAAGTGGTCGTAAGGAGGGTTAACATCAACAATCTGGACAAAAAAATATAATTTTAGTGTTGAGAAACATAAATCAATCTAGGATTATTTAGTCAGCGTTTGTACACATGCATTCAGTTATGTGATTAAAGGAGAAGTGACCACACGCTTAAGAAATCTGAGCTAAAAGCAGAGTCGATTGTTTAATTACGACTATATCATGAGCATGTGGTTTCGAATCTGTCAAAATAGTGATACCAAGTGTTCGTGAAATGGTGGGCGTATTCCTTCTTGCCATTCAGCATTGTGAAGAGTTTTTTCTCAGACTGCATCTAAAAAATAACAGCCAGAATTCAAAAGGACTGTCATTTCGAATCCTCTTGAGAAGGCATTATAAGATAGATTTCAGTTCTCAAGGTCAGAAGAAATTTCTGTAATAACGCGACGAACAATCAAAAACTACACTGTCACGTTTTCTATTTCTATCATTTCCACAAAATTATAGATGGTGTCATGTTTCAGGGTAAGATCTAGACAACCAAGTGACGGGAATCAAGGTCACGTGGTTAAGTAACATAATTGCTGGTTAGCTTCAGTCATATGATAACGTTTAGCCTTGTTGACAACAGGGAAGATATAAATATCACGCACCTGGCATTACCTGTAATTAAGATTACCTGTGACAGTCAAAAATGGTCGCGCTTGATCGACGGGTCCAATTAGAATTCCCGCCCCCACACTGGGAACATGTCAAGGGGCTCATTTCCGGAATGTACAATAGAAATTGACATGAAAAAACAAAACAAAACAAATACACGTGAATAGATGGGGGATAAGTCACCTCCCACATGCTAAAAGACGAGGTTTTGTGTGCTTGTGTTTCTCGGGAATGAATGCTGTTTTATCAAACAATGTCAATGAAATTACACGTTTATACTTTTCAAAAGTCCCCCATTTTATCATATGATGTAGCCGATATGTCTTTAATTTCTCTTGAGTAGTATATATAATGGGACCCCGTAAATAATCAAGGCTGGGCCACAAAGATCTTAACTGACCACTGACCAAAACAGCTCCAGGTTGTCCACATCGTTAATATACTGAGGGAAACAAATAAGGGAACACCACTTCACGGCAGTGTTGTTTTATTTATTCTCAGATTTCCTCCCATAGCGATATTTAAAGCTGGTAATGAAAACTGGAAAAATATTAACGGAACACTTGAATTTTCCTGTGTTTGTTTCTGACTTATTTTGAATTTATCAATGTATAGATATATTCCTAACGTAATTATAGATAATCCCTTGATAAACCAAGGTGAGGATTGAGTGAGTAAGCGACCTAGATTTAAGACCCAGGAATAAACTCAAAGGACAGCGATTTTATATTAATTTGAAAGTGGCTTTGTATTGTGACACGAAGATCTCTTTATGTCTGACCTTTCTATATCAATTTCAGATTGCCTTATTTGGTTCCTGAAGATAATGGCAGCGAATTTTGTGACGTCACTGATGACACGTCTGAGGGGAAGAGGCCAAAAGAAGAGCCCGGATGAAAAGAAGAAGAGACGTTCATGTATAGTCAGCTGGTTCTCGACCTCCGACCTGGATAACGTTGATGAAGATTCTTCCTTCCTATTGGACGACAGTGGTCTTGACGTCACATCCGGCCCAAGAACACCGTCCGGGAGAGAACGTGATTCTGGCTATATGGGAAGGTAATATAGTCATGTGAGACCTTGTTTTCGAGTTTTCTGTTATAATATCAGTTTTTGTTTGCATTCTGCTGGCTCGAAACGAACTAGGAAGAGAAAATCTAGTTGGTGACAGTGTGAACATCGATCCAAGTATTTCATGATACAAGAGTATCGGAGCAGGAGTCTTTCCATGTATGCGACCATTTTCAATCATCTAATAATTTTTGGGGGGCAAAACCTAGTGTTTCAAATAAGATTTCGAAAATTCTCCCATCACAATTCGGTTTCGATTCGATATTCACAAATTACATTGGAAACCGAAGCCAATAGCATTATGCTTTGGATTTAAAAAAATTGGAGATATCGGCATGTCATGGTGGAACTTACTTAACCATTGATACCTTTCTCTTCCCTTAGATTCCACAGGAAAGAATGTTGAAACTGAAAATCAGGTAATCAAAACAAATTGGTACGATTTTTTCACTTTCAACAGATAGCATCTAAATTTAAATTATTCTTGGCAGGTTTTCGAGTCATGAAGATGTTTGCAGTGGCTGGATCCTGGAAGACTCCGTATGCATCGATCTGGAAAAGGGGAGGTCATTACTGATTTCAGTCCTGGACATGGCATTATGCGAAAGGCTGAGTCTCTGTCCAGTCTCGTGCGCTGTACCAGCATCCAAGACAGGTCACTCAAGGTCACTCGTAAGAGGCGTCAGAACATGGCCAAACGAAATCGTCGGAACAAATACTTGTCTTTCAAGAAGGCCATCTTCCCAGATGAAGGCATTGACGTCACTTCCGGTGAAGGGTGCACAACAGATGAGTCTTCTGATGAGATGATAGAGCCTCCCAGCGAGAAGAAGGTTTCTCCAACTGAGAAAAGAAGTAGCAGGAAGGTGCCTGACGTCATCACCCGCCAGAACAGCGTTCAGAAGAAGTCTTGGGAAATCAGACGGCGTAGAAACAGGAACTCCAGAAGAAGCGGCGTTCTGCAATCCTGGAAGCTGGTCCTGATGCTGCAACGGTGGAATGACGTGGACACTCTGGAAGCAATTACAGCGTGATGGGCTACGTTTCGACGTTACGACGTTACGACGTTTTGGGCTTGGCACTTTTGGTCCCACTCTCCAGACTATGCTTGAAGTGATGGTTTGCATGTTGTTGACGCCGCGCTCAGAAATAGTCCAACTATACCGGCGGTCTGTAAATAATCGTCCCAAGAACATGCACTCCAGTGATTGATATTGTGAGCATAGTAGTATGACTCTCGATCATCAAGTCTGACAGCCTTATCCAAATAGTCGCCTATATATGACCAGCATAATTTGCAAGTGACCTTAAACTTTCCCGGAAGTGGAATTTGGTTCTGTGAGTTGGCGAACCAGGTTGTCCAGCGGATCGCGGGAGTAAGATTTTGATGGCTGCTTCAAACGAGGGTATTTTGAACTGCAGTCTTTTGAATACAAGCAAATGATTCCGTTTCAGGACAATATTTATCCCCATGAGGTCAAGTTACTTAAACACTGTATTAGCCTGCGAACTCAAACTGTGTAATACAGATGTATTAAAACGTAGTAGCTTAATTAATCCGCGTCATTATTTCACACATGCCATTAATTTCAAGATCTAGACGAAGACTGCACACAATGAATACATAATGCCATTTAGAAAGTGGTCAAAGGTAACATACATAATATATTTGGGATTAAACTTTTTCAGTAAAGAACAGATTCTAGTACTTTGTTAGGTTTAATGATTTTCTTCTTGTGAGACATTTCTCTGTCGTCCAACCCGTGGTTGATATAATGAACATCGGTCCAAGCCGTCCGGGTATACAATCACATACAGTCAACTAACTCAGAACACCTATCACTCGTTTTGGTCTCCTGGCCCCGATTTCTCGAAACAAACTTTAGTCTGAGTTTTTACTCAAATTTGAGAAAACACAGGAAAATGCATTTCCCAGAATAAACTGAAATCAATATTAAACTCAAACTTAGTAGACAATTTGACTTTGGTGGATAGATTACTAAAGTTGTTTGAGATTTTTTATTTAAAAAATGCAGTCGAGTTAAAAATTCAGCTGTTTCAAATTGTCAAACTCAGTTTGAAATTTGAGTAGAAACTTGAGTTTGTTTCGAGAAATCAGGGCCCGTATACACAAATACGTGTCCGCAAGCATGCACGCACGTCCACTCAACCACATCCTTCCCTTGATCGAAGTGATTCCTGATGCTCTCAGGGGCAGCGGGGTAGCATTGTGGTTACTGTTCGCTCGTTACACCGAAGAAACGTGTTTGATTCCATGCATGGGAACAATGTGTGAAGCCCATTTCTGGTGCCCCCGTCGTGATATTGATGGAATATTGCTTAAAAGCGGCGTAAAACCTGACTAACTCACTCAGCTTGCCAATGCTCTCAGGAACTAGTTTTCAGGGTCAGAGATGTATTTTAGCCATCTGTTGTCTTAAGCAGCATTCACTCACCTAATACTAATAATAAATAATAAATAATAATAATAATAATAATAACTAGACTATGCTATTCAGTTTTACGTACTACAGCGCTAAGCGCGACCGTATAGGTCCCGTACATGGGGCCATTGAACAGGGGTAGCCTAGTGGTTAAAGCGTTCGCTAGTCACGCCGAAGACCCGGGTTCGATTCCCCACATGGGTACAGTGTGTGAAGCACATTTCTGGTGTCCCCCGTGATATTGCTGGAATATTGATAAAATCGGCGTAAAATTAAACTCACTCACTTTACGTGAGTCAGTCTGATGTCATAAAAACAGGTTTGGGACTGGACAACCAGTGATTGATATTGACACACAGGCTGTACATATCAAGATTAATGTCTCGATCAAACTGACCAATGTCAGGAATCAAACCGGAATCGGGAGTGAAAAACAATACACTCTGTACCCACTAAAAATCTCAGAGGGATGCAATGACTTGTAAATGATAAAAGAAAGAAAAAAGATAATTTAAGGAAAAAAACTAACTTTTATTCATAAACAAAATCCATCTTATATAAATAGCCATGTAGGGCAGGACATGCTTACACGTTTAGGGAACACCTGGTGTCATCACTGGGTTTCAGTGATCCAATCATATACTTTTTACGTTCATGACAACAGGAACGGAATTTACTTCTGTAGGTAGCCAAGACTAGGCATTCTTTTGAACTGAGGGGCAGTGGGGTAGCCTAGTGGTTAAAGCGTTCGCTCGTTAAGCTGAAGACCCGGGTTCGATTCCCCACATGGATATAATGTGTGAAGCCAATTTCTGGTGTCCCCCGCCGTGATATTGCTGGAATATTGCTAAATTCGGCGTAAAACCATACTCACTCACTCACTGTTGCACTGACTCTGTATATCATAATTTTAATAGTATTAAAATTTGTGAAGTTTTTGATCCACACCGAAGTAATAGAATATATAATAGTGCCTAAAAGAATATTAAGGGATACTGACATAATTACAGTTTCTTAGAATATTTTGTGATATTATTACAGCACACGATGAGCTTAATAATCTATCGATCTAATGTATGTATACAGCTCCTGCAGCAAGTACAATCACTGTCTTATGGTACCACTTTCTGTGGTTGCAAAGAGGATTCGATAAATAGAATCCGCTTTTGTTTACACGATCTTCGGGGCGGTAGGGTAGCCTAATGGTGAAAGCGTTCGCTCGTCACGCTGAAGATCCGGGTTCGATTCCCCACATGAATACAATGTGTGACGCCCATTTCTGGTGTCCCTCCGCCGTGATATTGCTGGAATATTGCTAAAAGCGGCGTAAAACCATACTCACTCACTCAAGTGGATCGTTGCAATTCTCACGTGATGACCTTGAGAAATATTATTCAACTATGCAAGTACAACCAGTGTCTAATGGTACAACTTTCAGTGGCTGCAAATGGATTTGATAAAAAGAATCCGTTTTGTCTACAGGCTCTTCAAGAGGATCGTTTCAATTCTCACATGATGACATTGAGAAATACTCTTCATCTATCCTCCAAATAACACACTTTTATGTTATAAGAAACATTTTTCTACGCTGGCTACCAAAACGATTACTTTAGTATTTTTGTAATTTTTTTGGTTGTTGTCTGAATGACATTATTGTGAAGTATCTAATCATCATTGTACAAAGGGAGGTAAGCACTGTATGTGATGGAAGCATCAGTAAGGCACTTTGTTCAGGGGAGATCGTTATTCGACATATTGAATGATAAACGACAAATTAAAAACCTGTTCTACTCATTTGTTCTGGCTATAATAGTCAAAATAACCCATGAAACATTGTTACAATAGTTGGCTATTCACATTTTGGTCATGGAACTTCGAAAGAACGAAAAAATGGTTCTTCCATATAAATTAGAAATAAAAATAAATAGAACGATTGTAAATATATGCTTCAGACTGTGCAGTGTTCAGTGGATGTGTTTAAAATGATATTATGATACGACATATTACAACATTTCCAGATATGATATACACAAAACTTGTAGAAGTGATATGTGTTAATAAAAACATTCCTTATTTTGAAGGTTCATCAAGGTTTAAGGGGCGATGGAGTAGCCGAGTGGTTAAAGCGTTCGCTCGTCAGGCCGAAGACCCGGGTTCGATTCCCCACATGTGTGGAGGCCATACCTGGTGTCCTCTGCCGTGATATTGCTGGAATAGTGCTAAAAGCGGCGTACAATCCAACTCACTCACTCACTCACTCACTATTGGTGGTTTGGCTGACCATCGTACAATCACAGCAACACCAGCATGCTTCCCAGTCTGCGTTAGCGCAGTAGACTCCGGGAACCAGGCTGCAGCAACACTGGCATCTTGTGAGTCAGTCTTCACTACCGAGCGTTGGCAGGCGTTTCTTCATCTCGAAGTAGGATTCGAACCGTGATATGGCCAAGTCCTGAAATTGAAAGATAATTGTGTTACCTCACAATCAAATTATGCCTTTTGATTGTTTATTGTTTAACATCACACTGAGCAATTTTCACTCTATATGACTATGATTTGTAGATAACTGAGTCCGGACCAGACAATCAAGTGATTGATATTATGAGCATCCATCTTTTGCACGTGTTATACAGTGACATGCATCAAGCAAGTCAGCCAAACTTATCTCGCTAGTTGTCTTGGCTGCAGGAGACCAATTCTGACCACAGTGACCAGAATAAGTTTGTTCTGATCTTGCTCATCATGAGTGAGTGAGTGAGTTTAGGTTTATGCCGCAATATTCCAGCTATAATCCAGAGATCAACAGCATGAGCAACGGTCTACGCAACTCGGATACGGAGACATGTCAACATGTCAACCAACCTGACCACCCGATCCCGTTAGTCGCTTCTTACTAGCATGTTTTACTGAAGATCAATTCTAACCTGGATCTTTACGGGTTTTGCTCATAATGATGGAACTTAGCAGATAAAGCAGATGAACATGCACCAGGTGAAGAACCTGGTGTTGGGAGGTCCTGATATTGTTGAAACCCACCCACAAAGGTATGGTGCTGACCATATTAAAACACCAGGATCAGGTTTTGATTCGAGCCCATGATCATTGGTTCCTGGCGTGCCATTCTTCTCATCCCAGAAACATGCAAGTGCTGACAACTGTTCATGATATCTGAAATAAGTGGTGTATCTTCACTAGAGAGCCTTATAACCCAATCCTGTTTGTTGCTTCTTACGACAAAGATGGTTGATGAAGACAATTCTGACCAGCATCTTCCAGTTCTGCCCTGAAGATGTAAATACATTCAATCTCTAGATGAGCATCAGCTTCCATTCTCCTTGTCCCAGGAAAATGGCGAGTGCTGACAAATGGTCATGATCTCTGACAAATGGTCATGATCTCTGACAAATGGTCATGATCTCTGACAAATGGTCATGATCTCTGACAAATGGTCATGATCTCTGACAAATGGTCATGATCTCTGACAAATGGTCATGATCTCATGATCTCTGACAAATGGTCATGATCTCATGATCTCTGACAAATGGTCATGATTTCTGACAAATGGTCATGATCTCTGGTCACAAATGGTCATGATCTCTGACAAATGGTCATGATAACAAATGGTCATGATCTCTGACAAATGATCTCTCATGATCGCTGACAAATGGTCATGATCTCTGACAAATGGTCATGATCTCAAATGGTGACAAAATGTCATGATCTCTGACATGATCTCTGACAAATGGTCATGAAATGGTCATCTCTGACAAATGGTCATGACAAATGGTCATGATCTCTGACAAATGGTCATGATCTCTGACAAATGGTCATGATCGCTGACAAATGGTCATGATGATCTCTGGTCATGACAAAAATGGTCATGATCTCTCATGATCTCTGACAAATGGTCATGATCTCTGACGATCTGACAAATGGTCATGATCTCTGACAAATGGTCATGATCTCTGACAAATGGTCATGATCTCTGACAAAATGATCTCTGACAAATGGTCATGATCTCTGACAAATGGTCATGATGGTCATGATCTCTGACAAATGGTCATGATCTCTGACAAATGGTCATGGTCTCTGACAAATGGTCATGTTCTCTGACAAATGGTCATGATTGCTGACAAATGGTCATGATCTCTAACAAATGGTGACGAGTGCTGACAAATGGTCATGACAAATACCGTGTGTCTACACTATAGGATACATCTAAGGACTAGGAACTGGTCACTCAACAAACGGCTCCAGCCTGGAAATACCATGAGGTAATCAGACCATCGTGGAGGTGAAATCCACCAGCAACCAGCAATCAGCACCAGTTTGTGCTGACAAACCTAGAGACAAAAACAGGTCAGTCTTGGAGATTGGTTCCTGGGAGAACGAAGGGATGCAACTCTGCAGAGTGAACTGCAGAGCCTATCAAGACTTCCTGTGCATTGTGATGACACGCAACAAAATATCATTTCCAATGTGTGAGTTGCCGTGGGAGGCCCATTGGTTGAAGCGTTTGCCTACCAAGCAACAAACCTGGGTTCGATCCCTACATGGGTACAATGTGTGAAGCCCTGGTATCCTCCGCCGTGATATAGCTGGGAAAGAGCCAAAAGTGGCGTAAAATTATACTCATTTACTCCTATGTGAGTTAAGGTTGCTCACTAACTCACCAAATAATCAAACTCTATTTTGCAGGTCTCTGCTTGCATAATGGCCCACGTCCCCCACAGGAAGTGGGACCCGAGAACATAGGTGTTTACTTCTATGTACATCATTGCCAACTCTGTCTCCGATATGTCTTCTTCCTCACGTCCAAAACTTTTCAGGTACTCTCGGAAAAAAGCGTACTGAAATAGCACAACATATAGTTTAGTTTTAAAGCTTTTACTTTGGACTTCAGTACGTTTATATGGAGTACAAATATGACTACAGAAATGCTGAACTTGTTAGTCAAATCAAATCAAATGGAAGCAGTTTACCGAACCCACCAGGTGTTTATTTGGATGTCACCTCCTGTTTATAAGAATTCACTTGATGTTCACAGGCGTCTACTAAAACCCATCCGATGTTCTTTAGAGCACACCTGGCGTCTACTGGAACACACCTGGCGTCTAGAACACACCTAGCATTTACTAGAACACACCTGGCGTTTACTAGAACCCACCTGGTGTCTACTAGAATCCAAATGGCGTCACCTAGCGTTTACTAGGACCTAGCCTTTACTAAAACACACCTAGCGTCTACTAGAACACACCTGTTACTAGTCACCTAGCGTTTACTAGAACACACCTGGCGTCTACTAGAACACACCTGGCGTCTACTAGAACACACCTGGCGTCTACTGGAACACACCTGTTCTACTAGAACACACCCTAACGTCGTACTAGAACACACCTGGCGTTTACTAGAACACACCTGGCGTCTACTAGAACACACCTGGCGTCTACTAGAACACACCTGGTGTCTACTAGAACACACCTGGCGTCTACTAGAATCTACCTGGTGTCTACTAGAACACACCTGGCGTCTACTAGAACCCACCTGGCGTCTACTAGAACACACCTGGCGTTTACTAGAACACACCTGGTGTCTACTAGAACTCACCTGGCGTTTACTAGGACCCACCTGGCGTCTACTACAATCCACATGGCGTCTACTAGAACCCACCTGGCGTCTACTACAATCCACATGGCATCTCCTAGAACCCACCTGGCGTCTACAGTTTAGAACCAACTGGCGTCTACTAAAACCCACCTGGCGTCTACTAGAATCCACCTGGCGTCTACAAGAACCGACCTGGCATCTACTCTAGCATCTAGAACTGGAAGCCACCTGGTGTCTACTAGAACTCACCTGGCGTTTACTAGGACCCACCTGGCGTCTACTACAATCCACATGGCGTCAACTAGAACCCACCTGGCGTCTACAGTTTAGAACCAACTGGTGTCTATTAGAACCCACCTGGCGTCTACTACAATCCACATGGCATCTACTAGAACCCACCTAGCGTCTATTAGAACCCACCTGGCGTCTATTAGAACCAACCTGGCATCTACTAGAACCCACTTGGTGTTTTCAAGAATTCACTTAGTGTTGCCTGGAACCCACCTATTGTTTATTTAGAACCCACCTGTTACAAAAATCCACTTGATCTTCATAGTTCTCTAAGCCCACCTGGTGTTATTGGAACTCACCAGATCTTTGGTTTAAACATATTTTTATTTTAAAAAACCCCAACTGATTGGTAAACAACGAACAATACAAAAAATGATCGAAACATGTTTCCAGAATAAAAGATTTAAGGCTTGAAGTTTACTAAACTCCATTTGCTGTTTAAACCACCGCCTTCTGTTTACTAGACTCCATAAACCTTCTGAAATCCACCTGTTGCCACTAGAAGAACTCACCTGTTGTTTCCTTGAAGGATACTGGTCTGGAATGTGGTAGAAGAATGGCTTCTCTGGGTTGGTGTAGTCGAAGCACCGTGTGGCGAAGTGGTTGCCAATGTCAAAACCCTGTGAACATCAAAATGCGTATCCAAATTCGAATTCCATCAGTTTAGGCTTTTCAGCTCAAATATTCTCTCAGTGCTACATGTTTGTCAGCTATGAATACCTAAAAAAAATATTAAAAAAAGTATTGGGAAATTTTGCAGCTCAACATCAATTCACAAACTTGTATAAAGTAATAGGAACGGGAACGAAGGAATGTATGAAAGAATGACGACTAAGTGGATTGGATCGGGTGTCAGCTATCAACAATGTCATCACTAGTATTGGGAATTGGTTCATTAAATCTCATAATTGAGGGACCGTGAAGGTCCGGGTTATAAAGAAATTGATCTTCAGTAGCCAACATGCCTGTCGTAAGAGGCGACTAACGGGATCAGGTGGTCAGGCTCGCTTTTGACTTGGCTGACACATGTCATCGGTGCTCCCAAATTTGCGTAGATCGATGCTCATGCTTGGTTTTGATCACTGGATAGTCTGGTCCAGACTCGATTATTTACAGATCGCCGCCATATAGCTGTAATATTACTGATGGTGCGGCATGAGCATTGGGATACGATGACATGTGTCAACCAAGTCAGCGAGTCTGACCGCCTCGTACGACAAGCATGGGTTACTGAAGATCAATTCTAACCCGGATCTTCACGGGCCGATTCAGGAAGAATGTTCTGTGACTCATCATATGTGACTGATGCAATGCCGATCGTTACTAATTATCTGGCACCATCAAACCTTATACATTTAACCCACCTGAAGTTGTAACTGCATAGTTCCCAATCTATGATAGTAAGTTGCCTGTCGGGGTTCGGCTCGTCCTTCAGGTACAAGATGTTACCTGGAAATATCCACAAGCTCAGTAGGATTGAAACACACGTAAAATACCGTGTAAATAATATTGACAGTACCTACATATTGCCCCTTTTTCATTTTTAGGTGGTGTGTTTGGTGGTCAAGTGGTAAAAGCGTTCGCTCATCAAGCCGAAAACCTGAGTTCGATTCCCCACATGGGTACAATATGTCTTTTCTTGTGTCCCCTTCCATGATATTTGGGTTCGAATCCCCACATGGGTACAACGTGTGAAGCCCATTTCTGGTGTCCCCCGCCGTGATGTTGCTGGAATATTGCTAAAAGCGGCGTAATGCCAAACTCAGTCAGTCAGTCAATGATATTTCTGGAATATTGCTAAAAGCGGCGTTTAGCTCACTCTCTCACTCTCTTAACGCCGAAACACTCGTATAACCTCTTTCACTGATCTTTCACCTTCAAGTCATCATTTGGGGCGGTGGGGTAGCCTAGTGGTTAAAGCGTTGGCTCGTCACGCCGAAGACCCGGGTTCGATTCCCCACATGGGTACAATGTGTGAAGCCCATTCTGGTGTCCCCCGCCGTGATATTGCTGGAATATTGCTAAAAAGCGGCGTAAAACCATACTCACTCACTCACTCAAGTCATCATTTCCCTCCTTATGGAAAATTAGGCAGTGAGAAATAACCTTGGCAGGAAATGTGTTAACCCAGGGTTTTATGTAGAGAATACTAAACGATGTCCCATGTAATATCTAATAATAGATACCAAACCATTCACTTGTTTCATAAATATGGTATTACACAGGACATCGTTCAGTATTATATTTATTACTTGCATAACATTTGCAAAATAACATCTCAGAATTCAAGGGGCAGTGGGGTAGCCTAGTGGTTCAAGCGTTCGCTAGTCACGCCGAAGGCCCCGGTTCGATTCCCTACATGGGTACAGTTTGTGAAGCCCATATCTGGTGTTCCCCGCCGTGATATTGCTGGAATATTGCTAAAAGCGGCGTAAAATCCAACGCACTCACTCACTCTCAGAATTTAACTAATTTAAGTACATTACGCCGTCATAACATAGTTCACGCGTATGAATACATTTCATTATCATTGTCAACATTAGTCTAATTAATTTGATTTATAAGAAATAAACAAAACGGTACGAAAAGGGGACCAAGTGACTTCAAAAAACATATTTCTTCAAAATATAAATGCTGTTACACACATGCGAGCAAACATCGGATAAAACATCTGAAATATCGCGACCTCGAGATGTGTTGTGAATGACAGCCGACATTTTGTTTTGATCACGTTGCTTTGGTCATGTGGCCGAGTGCAAATAGTTCCGGCAGCACGCGATGTTATTATACAATGTTATATAGCATGTATTATTTCACATACAAACATAACAATAATAACACAAAATACGACATAAGTTTATAAGCATCGCGAATCATACCTTCATGTAGATCGTTATGACAAAAAACGACTGGGGAGCGTACCCTTGATAAGATTATCCTGAAAAGAGACCCATTTCATTCTGGTTAAGGGAATGTAAAATATATAGAACATCAGTGAAGGGAATGTAAAATATATAGAACATCAGTGAAGGGAATGTAAAATATATAGAACATCAGTGAAGGGAACATCAGTGAAGGGAATGTAAAATATATAGAACATCAGTGAAGGGAATGTAAAATATATAGAACATCAGTGAAGGGAATGTAAAATAAATAGAACATCAGTGAAGGGAATGTCAAATATATAGAACATCAGTGAAGGCGTAAACAGTGAAAGTATAAACATCAGTAAAGACATAAGTATAAACAGAAACAACTCATTTATATCAATGCTGAAACAGTGTGAGGTAAATTAAGTAAGTCCTTGTGAGTGATCATGTATAAAGCATTCTATGAATTATTAAATGTTTTCTTCATGAATTAGTCAACTGCATCCATAAATTTTAATCAGGCCTTTTATAAAACAAATACAGGGCCAATTATCGTGAATTTTATAAACATTCTATTTAATTTTCAATATGACATCAGAAACTTCCACAAGCAAAATAATACAATGAAAACAACTCACAATAATTCTTTAAACTCCTGTTCGAAATTGAATGACATAAGTTTCTTCCTTTTTGGAGACCTTTCTGAATGATGGGACAACCTATTCTTGATTTCAGTTACCCTCCTGAAACAGCATAGAAAGTTTGGCCTGATTATCCCGTCATTCATTTGGTCTGATTGACGTTCAACAAAACCTATTTCTAATTCCAAAGTTTAAAACATTTGTGACACCATCTTCCTTCTATTTGGACAATATAGCTATGATCTCACTCTACCAATACATACAATTTGGAAAATAGAACTGTGAATCCTATCTACCCACACTACCTTTGATTTCATCCTACCCATTTACACTGTTTGGTCTATTGCATATAGATGTTTGGTCAATATAGCTGTGATATCATCCTACCTTTACACACTGCTTGATCAATATAACTGTGTTATCATCATGCCTATACACAGT